TTACATAATCTCTTATATAAGATATTGTACTTATTGCTTGGCTTGCAATTGATTGTGGGATATTTATAAATGCATAATGAGACCATTCGGGGTCCCAAACGTAGTCTGACTGTTCTGTGATGGCGGTATCATCGTTTGAATTTTGAGGTCTAAAATTTTTTCTTGCTTATGAAATTAAATCTATATTATGTGTGAAATAATCTATTATAAACCATGCCAAAACTTTTTGTAAGTCATGTTTTGTATGTTGTGAAACATCATCTTTGGTGAAATTTTCTTTAATTATATGTAGAAAAGTTGAAAATAGTGTGATTTCATGTCGTACCTTTATATGTTTGGATGTCTCTGTCGGTGAGACATTTGGAATTTCTGTTTTTTCTTATATTGAAATATAACTATATATTATTGCAAAAACTTCGTTAGTAAATATGGAGTTTGCTCTTTGTGAGTTATGATATTGTACGCTTTTAATATATTCTAAGAATACTTTTGAAAATTCTAAGTCAAGATCGTCTGTTTGAATTACATATTTGCGGTGATTCGGGTTTGGTGAGGTGAATTCTATAGTGTAGATTCCGTAGTGTTGTGTCAAATTACATATATCTTTCAGATAGTGATCAATAATTTGTCTTTTGATCTTTACATCGGGGAAATCTGCTTTACATGGGCTGATTCCGGGTTCAAATAAATTTAGTAGTAAATTCTTGCAAAGTATATGCTGTCCTCTATCAGTGGGTGCATCTACGAGGAAGGGGAAGATATCGTCATCATCTGGACTATCTTCACTTGGAGTGTGTGTTTGGCTCATTTTTTCGTTTAATGACTGTTAATAGGTAATTTTCGATGTGTCTAATTGGTTGATTCCAGTTGTATAAATGTACTGGTTTGTGTTTATATTGCTTTTTTATTCGTCTTTTTCCTCTTTTTGATGAATTTGAAGTTGTTTCTGAGTCAGAAAAATATAATTGATCGTGTATGGGGCAATTTTTATCTATAGATTCTTTTAATTTATAGAGTTCGTCTAAATTGCTGGCTTCTGATTCTGAAAATGCGTTTCTATTTTTGGAAAATCTTTTTCGTGTTATTTGTCTTTGTTTAGTTATTATTTTTCTTTTTAGTGTTTGTCGTTTTGTTCTAATATATCCAACTGTTTGTGTGTGAGGTGTGATTACAAGGTCGTATTTTTTGTTTTGTATTTCACAGTTGGGCAAAACGATTGTTTGTTTGTTTCCTAGATTTTTAAATGACATAAGGTTTAGGATGACGGATGCAAAAAGTTGTTAGATGATTTCTATTTTCTTAAATTGTTAGTCCTTACGATTTTTTGGTTAGCTTAACCTGGGTCTATTTGTTCAGGGTTGGAGAGAAAAGTATATCGATTCCGAAGAATGATTTTTACTTTCTCGTGGCTAGTATAAGCTAAGGTGTTAACTTACTTAATCTTACTTAGGGGTAGTGATTGTGTTCAAGGGTTGGAGAATAGTAAATCGATCCACAAGGTTCAGGTATAATTAGAACGCGAGTAGTTCGTTAGATACTATTTTAAACTTACTAAGTCTACGATTTATCCTGGGTCTTGATAAGAGGAGGGTTCAAGTGAAGGATGAATAACCGAAGTTTTTCACTGTTTATCCTAATTTGAATGGTTAGTTTTGTTGAAAAATTTCTATTAGTCTTGGGTTTTTTTTTTGAAAGGGTTGGATAGTGAATCGACGTTTGAGGTCGTTAGACACTAGCTAAGTGATTGGGTGAGAACAAAATTGTTCTTTTTGATCCAAGGATAGGCCTTGATGATCAAGTTTAAATTTTAACTGAATAGAAAATGAATTAAGATCCAAGGATCAGCCTTGATGATCTGATTTGAAAATTAAGTGAATTTAAGTTTAAAATGGTTTAAATTTGTTTAAGGAAAATATTTAGTGTTTTAAAGATATTAGTGAAATTATGATTGCTGTTATGTTTTAGGTGATGAAGCTGGGACAATTGGATAATTTATGATTACTAACAGTTTACTGTCATGCTACTAATTTTTGTTTTGATTTTCAATAAATATTTTCCAAATATGTTTTATAGAATACTGCAGAATTTTAGGAGAACGATCTGAGATCTTTTTATCAATCGTTATTGTATATTAATATTTTGTTTAGCGCCTGAAATGATCATGAAGATTGACTTCAAGATTTAAGTTTGCAAATGAAAATCTAAATTCATTGCTAATAAGATTATAAATATAAAAGTTTGTGTTGGCTTTTGCCTTACTATCATATAACTATTTGGTAAGTTTCTACTTTGTCGTATGTCGTCTCTGGTTCGAGGTCTTCTTCCAATTCCGGGTAGTTCTCTTATCGTTCGGAATATTGGCTTTGATCTATTGAGTCGTAGAGACATTTCGATTAAATTATCGTCGTGTAACATTTTAAAAATGTTTTGTCTAATTTCTAATCCATTTTTGGTTAATTCTAAGCTATTAAGGTCTTGTTCGAGACTTATGGTCGCACCAGATGAGTTAGAACCGAGGTGGTTAACTCATAGAGTAATTTCGGATAGGGTACACCGTCTGCTCGTCACGCTATCTTATTTTCGGCCGGATAGATTCGTGCAACTTCTTAGTCTAATACCGATCCTAATCTTACTCTTATATCTACTAGTCTCAGGGTGTTTAACTAGTCTCTGCTAGGCTCAATAGGTCTAGAGTATACTGGCTTATTGCAACTGCTGAAGTTCTCTTGGAGAGGCAACTAATTTCTAAGTTAAATTCAAATCTCTCTGGTGCTGAAATTACAAGTAATTTCAGCACTTACAAATAAGTGGGTTGTTAGTTAGATGGATCATGATTGGTTAATATTAAATACTTTACAGTGGTAAAATATCTAATTTATCCAATCATAAAATGTAGTTTAGATCAGGTTCCACTTGCTATTTGAGCATCTTAAGACTTTTCCAAACAAAAAACGAGAAAAAAAATTACGACCTATATAAGAGTCTGAACTACGTTTCTACCATTTCATCTGTAAGAGTTGGCAGATTTTAAATCTGCGTTCTTAAATTTGAAATTAACTAGCTTTTGAAGTTTTAAAACTAGTAAAAATCTGTTAACCTTTGACTATAGTTTTCAGTAAGATATCAATTATGTCAATTTTTGCTTTAAGCATTTTGATAGGTTTGTAGTAACAATCAAGGCTCACCTCGGAAATATTATTGCAGCTTTCAGGGCAGATGAATATGAAACCAACATCAGAGTAATTGGTTTCATATTCATCTACCTTCGCAAGGCTGAGTTAAAAGCCACTCAAGAGTATAAGACCTCTCTGCATATCAAACAAAAAGCAAATATTGCACCGTTACTCTTTCAAGGCTGCTTAACAGTTTCTAACCTCAAATTCCGGACAATGTAGCCCTCAGCAGTGAGGCCGAAACAAAACTCAGACAATTCAATTAAAGTATCCAATCAATTCAGCCACCAAAAATTTCAGGCGGAATTGAACCCAAGTTCCAAATACTAAATTAACAGAATTTAAAACAAGACTGCTCGCATCAGGGCGAAGCCCTGAATGTCCCGACTGCCTTTTAGGTTTATGGAGCAGCAGTAATAACATAAAAAAACTAAATGAAATAAAATAAAATTAAAATTTTTTTTTTTAAATTTGAAAATTTTATGAAAATCATCCCCCCACACGCCATATAAATTACAAAAAGATAGATTACGTTCCTTGTAACAAATCAATTATGGCAAATAAGCTTCGTTCAACCAATTTGGAACGATTTATAAGACGGATTAAATCTCCGTTTACGCGTTAATAGCGCGCATTATATCGCGCGTTAATTGTCCCAAATTGGTCAAAATGGCCAAAATGGCAATCTTTAAACCCTCATAACTTTACGAAAAATAATCACAGGTGAAATATCTTTTCAAATTTAAGCTTAGGATAACAATACCTTTTGAATGATATAAAAAAGTTCTGTCAAAAATGGCTAGTTAAAAAGTCGAAATTTGTCTGAAGAAAAAAAAACCCACCCCGAGCACAAATATTCCGTTACTTTCGTATCGAAAGTCGGAACAATAACTTGGCACCGAAACCTTGGCTTCTGATTACTTTTTATTACTTTATTAATTTTTCAGCCATCGTTTTTTAAATTAGCTTTGAAAAGCAGTTGAAACGAGGTTATCAGTAAAAAATATATCTGCAAAAATTAGCGTTATTTAAATTGGTTAGCGTTAGTAGTAGTTTACAGGCTTGAGCAACTGAATTTGCTTGCAAACACGGTAATTTTTGTGTAAGAATATGGAAAAGAAACACTTTTTTAAAATTTGATGCACAAAGGGTTGAGCAACTAAGGGTTGAGCAACTAAATTTGCCTGGTAACACGGCTATTTTTGGTTGAAATATGGAGAAAAAAAAAACAATTTTAAAAAAAATTTGATTCATGCCCCACAGCTAAAAATAAGCTCAAATTTTCTCAAATTTTTGGTTTCATTTTTTTTTTCTCATGAGAAACAGGCTCGGGTAATTTTTACCACAAAAAAGACTTTATGAGTGTCTCAATTCTCCTTCTCGATTCAGTGTCTCAACTCAAGCGTAAAAACTTGTCGGAAGGAATAACTGCGACTCGTTTTTTCTGGTTTTACAACATCAATCATAGATCTATTATCAGCGACAGCAATCAACTATAACATTACGGTGATTTTAAACATTTTTGATATTTTTTTATACAATTTTTGATGCAGAAATGATATTTTTCTAAAACATTACTGGAGAAGTACTGATTTTCTCTGTGACTTCAACCCGGGCTGTAACTGTTTCCTGAGTCATGAATACCGTAATTTTTGTGCGATTATTGAACCTTTTCTCTTTTACCCTCTCATTTTACCATTAAGTTTTGACTTGACTTTTTTCTATTTTTTTTTCCAATCTGTGGTCAAAATATTCTGTGCTACTTGCCGAAAATGCAATTTAGAACTTTATTGCTTGTGTTATTATTAAATATGAATTATTGAAGCTTACATCGTACGAACTTAAAATAGTAGTATTCATATCCATCGTAATCTCTCGTATTGTTGCGCTAGGTGGTCTATTTTTTGTAACTTGCTACTGATCAATTTTTTCCTGCTCTGCTCTCAAATTTCAGCTGCGCTTAATTCAGTTTTGTTCTCGGTCGGACATCCTTCGTGTTGTGGCTCTCTGAACTTTGACATGTCTGATCCAATGTCTTCCAGCTTCCCCTTCAGCATGTCAAATACTTCGTCGGCAAGTGTATCAGTCCGAGCTGAAAAAATCGATAGTCAACTATTGTAGCTGTTCAATAGATAACATTCAAATATTTTAGGTCGAGCAAATTGATTTTTTGAGCTCTCCCAAACCAGGTTCTTTTCCAATCTCTTCCCCCATCTTTTCTATTTTCTATTTTTACAGTTGTTTTACGAGTTGTTGTTACGACGCATGCAGTTGTGGCTAAACGCGTGACGTCACGGAAGTCTTAACCTTCTAAAACTGTGTTGGGTGGTGTAATATGCTTCTTTTGATAAAACTTTGGGGCAAAATTTTGGTTAAAAATTTCGAGGAAAAAATTGCACCATATTAATTATGGTGAAATTCTAAGCTATTTTTTTTCTCTTCATTTTGGTCTAATCTTAACCCAGCTTAAGAAAAACACTTTTGAAATTTCAAACTTTGTGCGTTTTGTCCGGATAATTATAATCAGCACTGTAGATTTCAAAAAAAAAATTAATGGGGTTTAGAATTTAAACAAACAGGCCAAAAAAGATGTTTAGATGCCCTTTTTGGAAAGTTTTCGTTTTTCGGCGCGTTCTTATCAAAGTTAGTATATACTGGCACCAAAGACTCCCTTAGAAAAGTTTTTAGGGTTGGTCGGCCAAAACGAATGTACTAAAATAGTACCACATGGGGGACCCTTTTAAAAGTCAGCGGGTCGAGTCCCCGAGAAAGGGGACGTTCCCCGCTCAAAAAATGATTATAATGATTTGATATTACTAATTGAAAAGAACCCCAATTAATCGAAGTAGGTTCTTTTCAGCTTTCCCCGCAGCATTTCAAAATTCCCATTTTCTTAGTTGTCTTACATGTTATCATGGCTTTAACAACTGAAATTGAAATATGAGGGGAAAGTGAAAAAGAGCCCCGAATTATCCCAATAAACCAATCTGGTTGAAGACTCACAGTAAATGGCGGCGTATTCATATCTCCCAAACACAGTATTGAGTTAGGACCGATGTGGTTAACTCATAGAGTAATTTCGGATAGGGTACACCGTCTGCTCGTCACGCTATCTTATTTTCGGCCGGATAGATTCGTGCAACTTCTTAGTCTAATACCGATCCTAATCTTACTCTTATACTATCTAGTCTCAGGTTGTTTAACTAGTCTCTGCTAGGCTCAATAGATCTAGGGTATACTGGTTTATTGCGGCTGCTGAAGTGCTCGGGAGAGTCCAACTAATTTCTAAGTTAAATTCAAATCTCTCTGGTGCTGAAATTACAAGTAACTTCAGCACTTACAAATAAGTGGGTTGTTAGTTAGATGGATCATGATTGGTTAATATTAAATACTTTACATTGGTAAAACATTTAATTTATCCAATCATAAAATGTAGTTTAGATCAGGTTCCACCCATCCGGGTTTTACAGAGTTTTTTAGAATAGTTCTTCTGCAATTCGAAGGATGGATGATGGACGTTTGTTTTTGGCGAACATCATAATTTTCCTCCGTTTCCTCTTTTGTTAGGGAAGTTCCAGGAAGCTGGAGTTAGAGACATAAGACGTTGTGTTCTTCTTGTGACAACGACTAAGTCTTCGCAACAAACTCAAATCTGATTTCAGAATGGTTGGCTATGTCAGGTTTTTCTGTTCTTCGTGGAGAACTTCTTTTGTGTCTGATCTAGCTTGGGAATGGCGTGGAGATTGTGCGTGGAGGGGATGCCTGGTTACTCGGATCTGTACGTATACTTGAACATCGAGGTGGTCATTGGTCTAGTTCAATGAAGTCCTTTTCTGCGAGGTCAAGTCGTACTCTAAATCCTTTGAGTTGTGATTGTGAGCGGCATATCGATTGTAGTTGGTCATTCTCTCTCGAGTGTAGTGGGGTCGTCTTGTCTTTTGATGTTCGTCCTTGGTGTTGTATTCTGATCTATATATTGCATCATGTGATTTTACATTTTATAAAACTTTTATTAGTTTAATATTTTTTAATAATGATTTTAGTTAGTTGTTTTCACAAAAGCTTTTTGTTTTAGTTCGGTTATTTTGAAGAGTTACTCACCCTTGAGTAGCTCTTATTAAAAATAGAGGTGTGGTCACAAAGCGTGGATGTAGCGCGGTGGGTTAGGCCGGCTATAGAGCATGCTCAGGACGTCCTTCCTGGTGGGTTAGGCCAGGAGTGGGAGTATGATTTCATGCGGTTTTTGTGAGGGGTCCTGTTATGTGACAACGTTTTATGTTGGGTTTGTTGTGGTCTTACTTATGTCTTGTTGGTTATGTACTTTTTCCAAAAAGCAAATTGTTTGTGGTATGGGTTTGTCTTTCGACTTTTTTGTGTTTTATTATTTCTTTCTAAGACTTTGTAATAGTCTTCAAAAGAATAAATTATCCAGTTTTAAACTGGGTTAATCCGGTTTGGGTACCGTTGGTTTCCTTTTCTAAGTCATGCTGTTATTCTATGATTTGTGGTATTTAGTAAGCTGCGTTGGTTAGTTTTGTTTAGTATGTGATTCCTTTCCAACCGGGTTAAAGGAAAATTTGAAACATGTTATTTTATGTTAGAATTGTTGAGTGTGAAAACTTGAAACTGAAATTCATTATTTTAAACAATTCTTCGTGGGCGAGCTGTGCGAGTGTGGATAGAATTTCTGTGCGAATAAATGAAAATTCCAAAAGGTTAGTACTGCATTTGCATTTATTTAATTTACTACATAGAATTTAGAAATTTACTGCTAGTCATGGGGGAATATTAAGATACAAATTTTCATCATAATTAGATTTACTGCTTTGGGGGAAAATATTATAGATGAATTTACTGCATTGATATTAAATTTAGAAATTTATAAGTGTAAGAGATTAATAGAATTTTAAAATTGTTTGATGAAAATTGTGATTTTTATTGTTTCTTTTGTGGTTTTTGTAGGTGATTGTCGGATGAAAGCTAAAAATCTAAGGAAAACATGAATAAAGAATGGTGAGTTTTTAATACTGTAATTAGTTAGTAATATTTACTTAATTCATACTTACCTGTTAGTCGTCGGGGAAAAAACCGTGGGGGAAGATGTCGTGAATTAGTTCTGAAGTTGTTAGTAGTTTAGCTAGAATGCGGATGATATTTTTAGTCTGAAGCAGTGGCCAAAGCAATTGAAGTGCCTTAATAGTGGTTAGTTCTTCAGTGCCTACTGCAAACTCATAAGGTGTGTTTTGGATTAAGTTATATAATTTGTGATTAAATTTAGTGTTGTGGATGAATTCTAAAATTGGGATTTCTATAGGTTGTACAAACTCGTGCGGGATAAGGAAGGGTCGGGATTCTTCGGCGTTGAAGGTCTTGGTGATGGGACAGAAGATGTACATTTGGGTTATGGGGTCATAATTACGAAGAATACCATGGAGGTTAGTGTCTTTAATACAATATGTGAAATTTAGGAAAAATGGTGAAGTGTATTTGGAATTAATGAATTGAAAACGATGGTGTGGTTGTCTAGAGGGTGTGTGTAGGTCAAAGTGATTTTGGATGAAGCGATAATAACTATATGTGTGGGTTTGTTTAGTGCGCAACATAATATCGTGTGAGCAGTGTAAATCTCTTTCGTGTGGTGCAAGGAAATGAAAGGTTAGTGAAAATATTTGGAAGCGTTCTTTAAAACTTTCGTATGCTTGTGTGTCTGTTAGTGCTTCTGAAATAATGTGATCAAACTTTCGGTCGAAGATGTTTAGTGTGAATGTATATGGTGTCTTGATGAAAAATTTCTCGGTAATTTGTGGATTAGCGAAGCGATCGTCGTCTAAGAATTGATCTTGGTTAGCTCTGATGATGTTGTGATCATAGTATTCGAGTGTATATTCGTTAGCTCTAGGTGCAGTGTGTGTTTTTAGTGATTTTTTATATCCAACGTAAGTAAATTGTCTAGCGGTTAGTGGTGTAGTGAGTCGATATAGCATGTCCGTATTTCGCTCTATATCGATGTGAGTGTTAGATAAAGGTAAGCAAAGAGGGTTAGTAAAATGATAATATGAGGTCCAAGAGAGAGTGGGCATTAAAACGTATTCATCTACAAAGTTGCGTGTTTCGTTAGTGTCGTGGGGGGTGTTTAAGGTGTATTGTGGGAATGAGGGTAAGGTGATGGCTAAAAATTCTTTTGTGTTAGTATGCTTGGGGTGGTTGATGTATTCACGGGCTGTTCCTGGTTTTGCTGGGAAAGGATGGTTGGGGAACTTTCTTTTAAAAGTGCGGTAAGCTCTATTAGTGTTGAGTGAAGATTCAGTTGATGTGGATGATGGTGCTAATGATTCAGTATAATTTGAAGAGGGTGTAGGGGTAGGGGGGTTGGATGAATTTATTGTGGAGGAGATTTGGTTTATGGTTGGGGTATTAAGGTGGTAGGGTTGTTGTTGAAGGGTAATCAAATTATCTAGCTCTGGGGAGATTCGGGGGGTGTCTGGAGAATGAGATGATTGGTCAGAATGGTATGAGGAGTAGGTTGGGGTAACTTGGGAAGCATAAGAGGGTGTGGGAGTGATTGGGTCAGGGTTATTGGATAATATGGGTTGAAAAGGGGGTTGAGAAAAATTAGAAGAGTTATGAAAATTATTGGATGGGGATGGTTCTGAGTCGGCAAATTCATCGGGGGTTTCTATATTCGGGTTATTGAGTTGTGAGATGGAATATAAAACTGAGATGTGTGAATTAGTGTCGGAATTCATGCCTGATGTTACCTTACTAGGTGAAAAGTCGGGTGGCGGAAAAGCAAAAAGTGGTATTATTGGGATTGGAGAGGTAAGATTGGTTGGGTGGGAATTTGATCGGTGTAGTGATCCAAGTTGGCGGCTCATCGTGGGCTAAAAAAATGATTATTTTGAGACTGAAAAGCGGTGGTATGGGTTTGTTCAATAATTTGTTCATAAGTATTATCATCTTGTGACTGGTGTGTCATTATATGTTGGATGGGACTTTGTGATGTATTGAGTCGAAAATTTGGATTATGTGTGATGGCTAAATTTCGAAAATTTCGTGGGACTAGGGATAGTGGATGGTTATTTGGTAGGGGTGGTAATTGTGGTGCCGTTGGCGTTATGTCTATATTGTTATGTTCTTCGTCGTATGTATTTTGTCGTGTTGCTATTTTTGTGTTATATTCTTTTATTTGTGCGTCTAAAAGAATTTTGTTTATAGATGTAGAAAAGATTCCAAAAAATCCTGCAAAGAGTATGCGTGCTACGCTTGCTTGTCTGTTTACTTGTGTGTGTATAGCACATGTGTTGTAGATTCCTTTTAAAAGTGAGAAAAGAAATCCAATAAAGTTAAACATTGCGTATAAAATAGTCAATTTTTCTAAGATGTAGTAGGGCCATCCTAGAAAATCGAGGATCTCATTTTTGAGTGTAACAAAGCTAAAAATGTTAATTGGTGATATATCTTGGGGACGGTATTTTTCACCGTTTAGATATATGTAATCTTTAATGTCTTTAAAATATCCGCTATAGTCTTGCGTGTAGATATCGGCAAATCCTGCGGTTTCTGCAAGTTTGCGTAAATTTTGGTCTATTGATTGTCTTTGTATAGTGTCCATTTGTGTTAATAATTCTTGGAATTGTTGTGTTCTAATGTGATGTTGAATATCTGATTTTGAATAGATTCCTATTGATTGTAAGTCTATATTTGGGTTTCGAGCAATAGCGCGAATGCTTTCTGGTGAAAATTTTTTGAGTGATTGCATTAATGTGGGATATGGAGTGAGAAGATAATATTTATTTTCATCAGGGTTTAGTTGTACTACATTGTGGCTGTTTTCTGATCCACATGGGACTGCGGTATCCCAGAAATAGGTTCTTCGTGAAAGTGTATCCACGAAATGTACTTTATTCTTATAAAAGATAGGGATTCTTTTATAACATCGTTTATCTTCAAAAACGTATAGTGGTGATACTTTTTTAGTACAAGTATAAAACCATAAGATGTTTCCTTCATAGTCTAAAAAATTTGATCTATTTCCAGATAAT